TTAGAGTACTAGTAGAGTTTTTGCGGGTTATAACATGTCTGGAGCATAATTAGAAATATTGAAGCTTTTTGGAGCATTGCAAGATGAAGCCATGAAGTGTGCAACTAGAGAAGAAATGTATGGATATGGGAGACGCTCGTCACCCATAAGGGTGACGCTGGTCACCAGTAGAGGAAAGAGTTGTGGCCTGATTTGTAAAAGATTGGGAAAAAATTGCAGTTTTGACCCAGAAATTCCAGTATTTATAAAAAGGCTCCAGATCCTGTTTTACTTTGTATATTAGGTTTTTCAGCCATTCTTTTGGCATATATCTTGTATTTTATTCTTTTTGAGAGCTGGAGAGAGAGATTTGTAGCAAAACTTTTGGAGAGACAAATCAGACTCCTTCAGAGCAAATTTCAAACTCCTTTATTTATATTTCTTAGTTCTTTTATGCAATCTATTCTTTTCATGATGTTTGTTTCATTCACATAGTTTTCTAGTTAAGTTAGGGCTATTCAAAGATTGATGAAGAGTTTGTAGAATTGCTATCTGTTATGATTATCTTTTGGTTCTTCATCTCTGTTTGCTTGAAAATCGATTTCTTAGACACATCATCTAGAAATCCGAAAATCATAGGTTGTTTAATAGATGTGAGAGTATTGTTGATAACCTGAACTAGCATTAGATAAGCAAAACAACTTAGTGCAAAGAGATTTGTCTTAGGAGTTTTGTGAACAATTGAACTTGATCATTACTGCATATTTAGATTGTTAGGATTTGCAAAGAGATTTGAAACTCTGTGATTTAGACATAGTTAACTTCTGCAATGAGAATTGATTAGTCATATATTTGCAATTAATATCCAAGACGGTTCTTAATCATTCCTGATTTCATGCATTCTACATTTTCGGATTCAACCTGCGAATTGTCCTGACTTAGCGCTTTTAATCTTCTGAAACTTAGATCAACCACCAGATTTCGTTTGCTTCCTTTTATTTTGTCATTCGCATTACATACACCATTTACTCATTAGCTTAATCTGAACCTACAATCGATAGTGTAGTTTACATACTCCTTTGGAATTCGATACCCCTTATACTACGACTGCTTTGCTGTGCACTTGCAGTAGTTTTTATTTGGGTAAAACCTGAGCCCTATCAATTATGCAGATTAATGAAGAATGATGAAAATTAATAGAGGTAGACTTACAAGAGATCTTCAGCGTGGTGCAAGCAGAATCGTCAGGCGTGGATCTTCATATGATGATGGTAAACATGGTGCAGGGTGGAGGTAGAGACGTTAATCGTGGATCTTCATAAGACGATAAAATTGACTGTTGTTGAATCGTCGATGTAACATCTTATAGTTTGCAATAAATTAATAAATCAGTGTTAAAAAAAAAGCTTCACAAACTGTATACACCGTCATTGTCCTTGATATATGGTTAAAAGAGAGTGATTAGATTTTTTTTTTTTTTTTTACAACCAAATGTATTCCATATAAATCAGACTGTAGGTTCAAATAGGTTAGCTTTGTGGGCTAACCAATCCGGAACCCTCGGATTTACATGGGAAAAAATGATACCTCGGGCACGAGCTCCTTTTGCAAGAGAGTCAGCCTGGAAGTTCAGAGTACGTGGTAAGAAAGATAGCGAAAAGGAAATAAATTGAGAGCACCAATGCTCATTTTCTTCTAAATCTGATGCTAAGATCGGCCAATCTTCTTCTTCTTCGATGAGCTTGACTAGTTGTAGGTAGTCCGTTTGGAAGTGTACTTGCAAATGTCCATGTTGATAAACAGTCTTCATTGCCCAGAGTAGAGATTCAAGCTCGGCTTGCAGAGGTGATGCAACTTATTTTTTAGCGAAAGAACCCATGAGATAATTCGAATAATTCTTTAATAGGATAAATCCACCACAAAAGTTTTGATCCTTGCTAACCCAAGATGCATCTACTTGACATCGATCCCCTCCACCTAAGGGGCTTAAGGCATTCGCATCTGATGCTTGGGGTTCTATCGTTTCGCTAGCAGTAATGATAAGGTTTGCTACACTCCAGTTTTCTGCTTCATGAACTGCTTTTTCTATTGTATCCATCGGGGATATATCTTTTCCATAAAAAGCTTTGTCGTTCCGGTCTTTCCACATGTACCAGAGTATCCATGGTGCTATCCGATAATCAATCCCAGAAGTACCTTGATTTTGTGCCTGATCCATAAGATGGTTCATATTGCTGAACAGAGCATCACTCGGAAAGAGTTCCAGAATCGAAGGGATAGATGATAAGGCCCATGTTTGCAGTGCCGGTGGGCATTGGAAGAAGAGGTGGTTGATCGTTTTGTCCTCAGCTCCACATCACGGACACGATCTATCTATCACACAGTGGCGATCCACTAGTCTTCTGCATGTCGCTAAACAACCTGATATGATCTGCCAAAGGAGATGTTTAATCTTTCTTGATATTTTTAGTGACCAGATTTTGGTTTTTATCGCCGTCGTACTTGGCTCAGATACCGTTTGTGCATTCTTTTCTTCTTCCATCTCACCTGCGAGTGTATAGCCTGATTTGACAGTATAGTTTCCTGATCGTGAATATACCCAACAGTATCCATCAATGTTGAATTTGCGAGTCGGCTTAAGACTAAGGATGAGTGGTACGTCTTCCAGTACTATTAGTTTTCGGATCTTCTCCTCATTCCACATCTTTGAGTCAAAGTCTATGAGTGAATGACGTTTAAGTGCGGATCTTGGAGGTTGTCAATTCTTGCTGCCGGTCGAGCTGGTACAACTGGGATCTAGGGGTCACTCCAAACTTTAGTGTTGAATCCCGATTTGATAACTTTACTTAGTCCTGGGACCAAAAGTTTCTTTGCTGCTATAATGCTTCGCCAACCGTATGAAGGGGCGTTTGACTTTTCCACTTCCAATGGGTTAGAGTATCGATAGTATCTTTCTTTAAGAACACGCGCCAATAGCGAAGACGAAAACCTAATTAAACGCCAAAGCTGTTTCGCAAGGAGTGCTAAATTAAAGTTCTTGAGGTCTCGAAAACCTAGGCCTCCTTTTGAGTATGGAGTGCAAATCTTTTCCCAGGCTAGCCAGTGCAATCCTTGGTTATTTGATTTCGAGCTCCACCAGAACCTCGATATGGCCCCTTGCATTTTAACTATCACGTCATGGGGAAGCAGGAAACACGACATCACATATGTCGGGATCGCCTGAGCAACAAATTTTATGAGCACTTTTTTCCCGCCTTTCGATAAGAGTTTAAAAGACCACGAGTTAATTCTGTTGTTCAGTCGTTCTTGTATATATGCGAACACCTATTTTTTGGAACCACATATCTTCTCCGGTAAGCCTAAGTACATGCCCATTCCCCCGTCTTGTTGTATCCCGATCGCTCTTTTTAGTGCATTTTTGCAGTTTGGATTCACTTTGCTACCAAAGAGTATCAATGATTTGGAGAGATTTAACTGCTGGCCCGATGCTTGTCCATATGTGTTGATGATCTTAAGCAACTCCGCACACTGCAGGACTTCCGCCTTACAAAAGAATAGGCTATCATCTGCGAACAACAGATGCGAAATAGCAGGACTCGCTTGCGCTATTTTGATCCCCGTAAGTCGACCTTCCTCCTCTGCTCCCTTAATCTGGCTAATAAGTCCTTCTGTAAGAATAATGAAGAGGAATGGAGACAGAGGATCGCCTTATCGTAATCCCCTCGATGGTATTATGTTTCCCTTCGGTTCGCCGTTTAGTAATACCTGATAAGAAATAGAGGGGATGCACCTCATAATCCATTTCACCCTTTTCTCCTCAAAGCCCATCTTTAGCATTAAAGCCTTTAGGAAACTTCATTCTACTCGGTCATACGCTTTACTCATATCGGTTTTGATTACTACAAACTTCGCGTTACATATCGGGTTGACTCTAAGCGCATGGAAGACTTTTTGTGCTATAAAAAATGTTATCAGTGATTAATCGTTTAGCGACAAAGGCCGATTGAGTTTCAGAGATTAGCATAGGAAGATACTTCTTTAAGCGTCTAAAGAAGATCTTGGAGATTATTTTGTAATAGATGTTGCATAAGCTGATAGGCTTGAACTCTGTCATCTCTCTTGGTCTTTCAGTCTTTGGAATTAGACATATATTGGTGTTGTTCAGTCTGGGATCGAACGAACCCGTCTCGAAGAATTTTTTCACCGTTCGAATAATGTCTTTTTCTATTGATATCCAACATTTCTGATAGAAAATTCCAGTCATCCCATCCGGTCCTGATACTTTGTCCGAATTTATGTCCATCACTGCTCTTTTAATTTCAGGGTCTGTGGAGGTCTTTGTAAGCATTGCATTCATTTTAGATGTGACTTGCGCGGTAACATACCGGAGGTTCGTCATAGTTAGACGGATTCGTTATAGTAAAAATATTCTGAAAGTATTCAGCTGCGACTTATTCTATGCCTTCCCTGTTTTCTGCCCATGCCCCATTGGCCTTCCTTAATTTTAATATTCTGTTGCGGGCTCGTCTTTGCTTTGTTATACGAATAAAAAATACTATAATAACAAACTGAAATAGAACAAACACAAAACCTGTATTATGTCATTATCTTTTTCTGTAGGGGCCTAGGTTATATGTCTCTTTGTTTCTCTCTTTTGAAACATATACAAGAAAGATCTTAATTCTTAAATCATGGAGAGCCAAATCCTCTCAAATAATTTCGTAATTATTGTCTACTTAAATAAATATATTGTATTTTCCTAACTATCAGTTAGTTGCTTAAAATATAAGCAAATACAATTAATTACGAAACGCGCCACAATTTAACCCCTAAATTACATCTTATGCCATGGCCATACCCATCGCTTTGTATCTCTTCTAATGATTCTATTTCTCTCTTCCCCCAAAAAGGCAAAATCTCACAGCTACTTCTTCTTTTCTCCTCCATAGCCAAATCTCTCACTCTGTCTCTTCTCTCTCTCTCTCTCTCTCTCTCTCTCTCTCTCTCTCTCTCTTCACTCAATGGCTCTGATTGGATCCGAAATGGAGCCATGGGTGGACGATTTGGCCGACGATTTACAGAGTGTGAGCTTTACTTCCGCCGGTACCACCGTGAATCGAAGCCTTAGCTCCGGCTCTCGCTCATCCTCCTCCGCCGCAGCTCTTACTCCGGCTCCATCCTTCTCCTCATCGAAACTCCCTCCCTCACTCCGATCGTCTCTCTCACTCTCCGATCTCAGATTCCGTCTCCGTCTCGGCGCCGGCGACATCGGTTCTGTTTTCATAGCTGAATTAAAATCCGAAACCGCCGTCGAAACCGTAGGGAAATTACCGCTCTTAGCCGCGAAGGTGATGGATAAAAAGGAGCTCGCGAGCAGGAGCAAAGAAGGTAGAGCGAAGACGGAGAGAGAGATTCTCGAATCGCTTGACCATCCTTTCCTCCCGACGCTTTACGCCGCCATTGATTCTCCAAAATGGCTCTGTCTGTTAACGGAGTTTTGTCCCGGCGGCGACCTCCACGTTCTCCGTCAGAAACAGCCTTTCAAACGCTTCCACGAATCCGCCGTCAGGTAACTGCCGTTACAGTGTCCGCTAATTTTTTTCCCAAGTACTGTAATTAAATATTTTCAGCTTCCAAAAAGATTTAAAATCTTTGGGTGTATTAGTGAAAATAATAAAAAGAGAAAAAGGAAGGCTGATGAAATCAGGGTAGTGGGACCCGCCAGCTGGCCTTTGTCTCGTAGTAACACTTAAACATAACAGAGTTTATGGCTTTGTGCCACCGTAATTTACAAAATCATTGCCTGTTAAACGGGTGTTTAAAAAACTATAATCAAATTATAGGCCTGATAATTTTGTTAGTATTTTATTTGTAATTCTAGTGGAAAATCTCATAATTTTTTGCTCAATACCGAGTTTCAGATTCCGTAATTTCATCCCGAAATTTAGCATTTTCTACTAAATTATATTCGTAATAGATTCTTCAGATTTGTTATTGAAAAATGTTTCCACATTTGTTTTATTGATTGATGTGCTCGATAATGATTTTTTTTTAGAAAGTCTATTTACGCCACACAAAAAGCTTATTTAATTAGGGAATATAACTAAAAGTTTAGACTGGTTTATTTTATGTTTTTTAATAAATATATAAAGTTTTTTATTTTATAAGCAGAAGTACAAGTGTGTGCATCTTACATGTGTGCGTATATCGTAGGGCACAGTTAAGTAGTTGTAATCTGGTGCGTACGTTTTTAAAAACAAAAGTCAAAACGAGTGGGGTTTGACTTTGAGCTTATAACAAATTACTTAACGACACGTGTAAGTTAGTAGTGGGACCCCGTGATTTAATTGAATCACGTAGCATGCCATGGCAGGAGATATGAATATTGTTCCTAATTGCGCATGTGGCTTCAGTACAAGCACATCCCCAGCTAGGCAGGTTCTTTGTAACCATTATTTCAACTTTGCCATTCCCTTCGAAACCGGTGGTTATTATCAATTTACTAATATTTTAAATCTATATTTTTTGTCACATAATCTCAATGAGCTGGTCCCACTAGAACGAGGGATTTTGAAAATTACAAAAAAATTTGTTGGTTCCGATTTGAGTTTTTACGATAAGAATGAACAACAATCAAACCAGTCACTGGGTTTTTGTTAAACTGTATTTTTATCAACTGATTATGAATTTACTACTAATATTGTAATCTTCTTCTTTTTTTTGGTCAAATAATCTTTATGGTTTTGTCCCATTAATGGGAGTTATATTGAAAATTACACAAAATAATTGGTTACATTTGTAAATATGATGTGAGCAATCACTTTGAAGCTAGTCATTGGACCCAATCTAGAAACAAAACGATTATTTTTGGTTAAATTTTCGTTTTCTATAATTTCTTTTATGGAGTAGAACGTTTGAATATCTTAAATTTAAACTAGATAATCGGTTAATTGCGGAGTTGATAAAAAATTTAGGAGCTTTCCAAATAGTTGATGCTACATTAGGTTTTTTTTTTGGTAGTAATAGATTTTATTTTTACCTCCTTCGGTTGGTAGTAGATGAAGTGATCATTGTTAGTTGAGTTAGCCACTTATTGCCATTTATGGACCAATTCTTACCACGTGATATACTAGAAAACCGGATCTCGTTGTTCTTGGTAAGATGACTATTAGACAGATCTGATTTTTTATTTTATTTTGTTCTTGAGTTAAAATGTCAGATGACAAAAGTAGTTTACACGTTAAAGATCCTGAAAGTGAAGTCAATGTCATGACAAGTTGAGCATTTTTATAAACTCTTGTGACTTGAATGTGTGTATAAGATTATAGATTTGCTTTTACCTTTTTCTTTTGTCTCTAACCATGCAATTGAGTTCTACTAGGTTTCATTTTTAGGGTTAAAGTAAAATCATTGAGAAACAGAAGAACCAAAAAAAAGTAGCCCTGTCTACATTTAGCTATCTTTTATCATGATTGTAGGGATTCCTTATATTAATTTAAGGTTGTCCTACAAAAAAAAAAAACCATGTCCCATTTGACATTTAGAAACTAGTCTCATTACAATGGTTCTAAGTTTCTGGTTTATCTTTTGTGTGAACTTGTTCTTAAGAACCAAAACAGACTTTTTACTCTGTTTTTGTGTGGAGTCTGTTTGTTGATTGTGGACCCATGAAGACAAAAGAGGAATCTTGGGTAATGTATTTGCACCAGAAACTCTCTTTTAGAGAAAAGAGTTCGTTAAGCTAACAACCTTGTAGGTCCATTATTGTTCCTTATGCATAGTAAAATTCAAACCAAACGTTATCTTCTTGTCCCCAAAATCCAACAGTTGCTGTTTTGTCACAATAGCTAAATATGTAACCAAAGATTCCAAAATTATCGCAAAATCTCTATTATATGTATTGTCCTCACTACCCTGTTTTCTTCTTCTTGTCCCCTTATATCATTTTGCTTTCACATTACTAATAATCACAACCTCTTTTACTATTTTTAGGTTCTATGTATCGGAAGTGATCGTAGCCATCGAATATCTTCACATGATGGGGATTGTTTACCGCGACTTGAAGCCAGAGAACGTGCTGGTTCGATCAGATGGTCACATCATGTTAACCGATTTCGATCTATCTTTAAAATGTGATGAATCCACTTCTACACCACAGATTTTGCTGAACCGAAACCAAGCTCCTAAAGGTTCGTCTGATCAGAACGAGAACCAAGCCCTGGACCATCATCAGACCACATCGTCCTCTTGCATGATCACAAACTGTATTGTCCCTGCTGTCTCGTGCTTCCACCCGAGAATCAGAAGACGTAAGAAGAAAACTGATCACCGTAACAATGGTCCTGAGCTTGTGGCTGAGCCTGTGGACGTCAGGTCCATGTCGTTTGTTGGGACGCATGAGTACTTGGCTCCTGAGATTGTTTCAGGTATACTTCAAATCTTCGTCATAATGATCCGCCATTTTTTAACAGTTTAAGATCATACTAAGTCATCCTTGCATATCTAAAATTTGCATGTGTCCAAATTACTAAAAAGTATAAAATTTGAAAACAAAAATCTTTAATTCCTCAAAAAAATACTCAAGCTTCTTTAATTCCTCAAAAAAATACTCAAGCTTTCCTTACCATAATAATTAGAGTCTTTTATTTGGTTTGACAAGATTTTAGCTTCTATTTGATTTTTTTTTTTAATTGAAAAAGTGTATACTCCATCCTTTTAAAAAATGTTACATGCCCTGAGATTAAAAAAAAAAGCATATAAAAGTATTGTTTCTACATCTGTTTAAGAAAATTCATAAGAGGAACTACAAATTATATTTATAATTTTGCTTTTATATATCCATTTGCAAAATATTAAATTAATATTATAGAGGCTATCAATTAAAATAAATTAAGATGTTGCATGAAGAATGTAAATTAAATAATAGTATGAAACAGAAGTAAATTGTTAAAACAATTTATAAAACGTAACAAGACTTTATTTTATTTTTTGTTGGTTTATAACGGAGGGGGATGTCTGATTCAAAAGAGTTGTATAAAACGTTAGTTATGATTCTTAATATTGATTCTCGAAAACAAAATAAACAAATCTGCTATAATTTACAAATCTTCTGTAATTTACATTATTGTAAATGTGGATGCCAGGAGAAGGGCATGGAAGTGCGGTGGACTGGTGGACATTGGGGATATTCATGTTCGAGCTGTTCTACGGAACGACGCCTTTCAAGGGAATGGACCATGAGCTAACGCTTGCCAACATCGTGGCTCGAGCCCTTGAAATCCCGAAAGAGCCAACAATTCCAAGTGCGGCCAAGGATCTGATCTCTCAGCTACTAGCCAAGGACCCGGCCCGACGCTTGGGGTCGTCTCTAGGTGCATCGGCCGTGAAACGCCACCCGTTTTTCGAAGGAGTGAATTGGGCTTTGCTCATGTGTACTCGTCCTCCTTTTCTCCCACCGCCTTTCCGCAAAGAACTTTTGTCGGATGACATTTGTCCCGAAACCCATGTGGACTATTATTAGTATCTTAATTAGCAACTACGTAATTAATTAAATTCACAAATGAGCAAGCTTAGTGTTGCATTTCATGAAATAATTTCATAAAAAAACTAGAATTTACTTTTCAAATTTTTTAAAATCTAAATCCTTTGCAATACATTCATTAACAAGAATCTCAACAATTGAAAACACAAGCAATTCTATAGATTACCAGAGAGCCAGTTCAATGAAAATAACGATTTGAATGAAGAAATTTTTGTTGTTGTCTCTTCCATACTCAAAATCTAATAACATTAGTATTAAAAAGTCTATTAATTGAACTAAACAAGAATTTTCTTAGTATACAAATTCAAATTTGGTGCTTTATAATGGTTCAATTTCCTATGTTTAGTCCACTTATTTTTTTAAGAAGAGACCTGATATTACCATATATTTTGCATATTTTACATGTATTTAGGATAGTTTTTCATGTATTCATTTTGTATTATAGGAAAACGGCAGCTATCATTTTCATTATCTTACATTTTTTTGCTTTTGCTTTTACTGTTCTTCGTGTGAGGCGATCCGCCATTGTTATTGTTCTTGAGTTTTTCATGTTTTAAATTTGAATCTTTTTAGTATTAAGCAGTTTTTCTTTAATCTATCGCTTAATCATGCTTAGTTCTTCTTTTATTGCTTTTCAATCGGTTTCAAACATGAGTAGTGAGTAGTTTTCTTTGGGATTTGGGGTTGAGGCGATTTGAGGGTTTAAAGGGGTTTAAGCTTTGAGTTTTTCTTGCTCTTCATTCATTCCTTTCTAGGATCTTGGGGTCTTAAGGCTTAGAGAGTCTTGAAAAAGATCTCTATGATTCCAAGACTGTCTTACCTTGACCGGATTCAGATATCCTAGAAAACCAGATCCTAGAGACTAATCTATCCTCTCCCAAACGCCATGGTTGAAGAGGGGGTTAGTTAAGCCATTAGTTGAGATTTATAGTCCATGCTTTTCGATCTCTTTTTCCACCAAAAACCATGGGTTTGGAGAAGAGATTGAAGAAGGGAATCATACCATACGCCCTGGATGACTCTACTTTTGATTCTCACGGCTTAAGGAAAGCTCATCAATGAGTAGATCTATGTGTTTTCAACCAAAGCTTAACCCTTGAACACTTTCGAATATGACCCTCGATCCTGAATCCTCTTTTAGCATTTTTAAACCTCAAGTTTTCATCTTTTAGTTACAAAGCTTGCATCTTGTTCATTAGAAGCCATTTGCCTTTAAGTTGTTAGATCGATTTGTTTTACTTGATTCAGTGCTCGATTTTTAGTTATTAGTAGATTTGCATTTTAGTATCTCTATTTTCTCCCAGTAATAGTTAATCCTCTTCCAGAGATTTTAAAATAGTTTTACATTTCATTTGGTCATTGCATTTAGTTTTCTCAGATTTTACCAATCATTTATCCGATTTGCTTAGATTTATTTTACTCTTGCATTCCTAGTGTTCTTCATGCTTCCTAGGTTGGATTGATATTCTTACTGCTATACTACAGCATTGTGGTTTGGGATTTGATATATCACCTTGCACAAAAATCTGTTTATCAAGACCTGGTGACTACACATAATATGCATTTCAGCCATTTATTGTTAACTGAGAATTTGGTACCACTAAATGAGTTCCACAGATATGCTGCATCTATTATGATTTACTCGTAAAGAAAACATTTAAGTTATTTCCAAAACGATATCGACAGATGAATGAAATCATTGAATAAATACCCACATGCCTCATTCATGACATATAAGTAAATCCACGTGCATGCCTTCATTGTAAATGTACTTTTGGCTTATCCTACAACTTTACAATCCAATCATTGATTCCACACCAATTCGACCGTCATGTGTTCGCTCGAGTTCTTAGTAGCTGTGGTTTAAAGAAGCACATAAGAAAATTGAATAAAGTTCTTTTTTGTTTGGAAATAAGAAAAATATTATATATATAAAGGTTATCCTACAACTACAAGGACATTCTAGAGCTACCATGTTTTTAATTCTCAACAGCACAACACAAATGATTCTATCTTCCTTTTTCTTCGAATATGCAAGGAATTAAAAAGATTTACCTCAAACTAATCCTAACGGTTTCTCACTAACTGGGTCAAGAGTATTTAGCAGGATATTTCTTCAATGAATGATCTATACTCCTCCTTTAGACTTATCTTTATCAAATTTTACTAATATCTCATCGTTGATGTTGTCAAGGACCTCTCCTATCTTTAATTTCGTTCATAATTTTCTGCACATTCTCCATGCAAAACCATAATCATGTCACTTACTTCATCCATGCTTTCTCACTTATGCTTCCACCAGATGGTGGAGAGCAGCTCTCAGCCTCCGTTCTTATATATTTGTATGCATCATCAATACTAGTTTCAGTGTGCTCAAGCATTTCTTTATGTCTCTCCACGACATTGCCAATGTCACTAAACATTGTGATTAATTTTTTTTTCTAAAAGCATCTCCAAAAATAAAATTTAGAGGAAAATTATCTTCAATTCACTTCTATTTTTACCCCTAAAATAGAGGATGGTATTTCTCTATATTTGGAAGAAATCTATTTTTTCTTTTATAATAGAGATGAACTTTTTATTTATAAATTAGTTCCTCAACTTTAATTTTTTTTTATTTTTATTTATATAACATATATAAAAATTTTAATAGATACTTACATAACTCATTTTTTTTTGTATATTCAACAAATAATCTTGTATTCAACATATAATATAACTAAATATATAATATAAAATTTTGGAAGTATATGTAAGAGAGTATAAATCTTATTGTATTCATCTCGATTGAGAATTAGCGTATATATACAATGGATGTAGGCTATGGTAATTACAGAGGTTTCCATAACAGAGAGAAGAGATATTTGGGAGTAATGAGGAGATCACGTAATGTATGTGATTGATCTTGGTGTATCCTTAACATGCCCCCTCAAGATGGAGTGTGGTGTCAAACTCTAGTCTTGTCTTGAAGCTCGATGAATCTTGCACGTGGTAGTGGCTTTGTTAGAGCGTCCGCAAGCTGATCTTTAGTGTTAACATGAGCCACTCGAAGAATCCCAGCTTGTATTTGTTCGCGAATGAAGTGGTAGTCCAGAGCTACATGTTTCATCCGAGAGTGAAAGGCTGGGTTTGCACATAGGAACGTTGCCCCAACATTGTCGCAGTAGACGACCGGTGTTGTAGTTAGGACGATTCTAAGCTCTGTGAGGACATTGCAGACCCAACGGATTTCAGAAGCTGTGTTAGACACTGACCGATACTCAGCTTCCGTAGAGGAGCGAGCAACACTATTTTGCTTCTTTGCTGTCCACGATATTGGGTGACTACCAAGATAGATGATGAAGGCATTGGTAGAAATGTAGTCATCTGAGTTGCCAGCCCAGTCTGCAGTTTGTAGCCGAGAAGTAGATGCCATGGCTTAATGTTCCAGCGAGTTAACGTAGAATCCTTTTTGCAGCTTGCCAGTGATCATGTATCGGATGATGCATGAACTGTGAGAGACGATTTACAGCATAGGATATGTCCAGCCGTGTGAAAGCAAGATACTGCAGGCTACCAACAAGCTTGCAATACTGTGTGGGATCTGAAAGAGCTGAACCAGTTGTAAGCGTGAGCTTTGGGGATGTTGTCATCGGAGTTCCAACTGGTTTAGCATCAGTCATGTTGTAGCGGTGGAGAAGATCGGTAATGTATTTTTGCTAAGACAGGTGAAGACTATGGGCTGTTCTGTGTGCTTCAATGCCTAGGAAGTAATTGAGGTCTTCAGGATATTTGACAGAGAATCGATCAGCAAGGAGTGAGAGAATTCACTGGATACCGCTGTGAGTGCTTCCTGTAACAAGGATATCATCAACATATACCAACAAGTAGATGAATGTGTTACCCTGTTTCAGTGTGAAAAGCGAAGTGTCGGATAAGGAGTTAATGAAGCCAAGACTAAGAAGATAGTTTTTGAGCTCCGTATACCAGACTCGGGGAGCCTGTTTGAGACCATAGATTGCTTTGTGGAGTTTGCAGACATGTGTAGGCTTGTCTTGATCAATGAATCCAGGCGACTGCTCCATGTAGACTTCATCAGTGAGCGTTCCTTAAAGGAATGCGTTATTGATGTCAAGCTGTTTAATCGGCCAGCAGCGTGTGACGGCGATGTCAAGCACAAGTCGGATGGTTGTGGATTTGATCACTGGGCTGAAAGTGTCGGTATAGTCTCTGCCGTGTTGTTGGTTGTATCCTTTTGCGACGAGTCTGGCCTTGCATCGATGATGTAGTCCGTTAGGAATAAATTTATTTTTAAAAACCCATTTGCAACCAACAACGTTTTGATTAGGGCGACACGAGACTAAACTGAAAATTGATTACGAGCAAATGCATCAATTTCCTCCGACATTGGACTTCTCCATCGCATGTCTTTGAGAGCTTGTTTAACCGTGGTTGGTTCCAGTGGAATTGAGCCTGACAGAGTAGCTATTTTTGCCGTCTTTGCATACTTCGGATCAGGTTTGACAATGTTATTTTGTCGGCGAGTTCTCATCGGAGGTGGAGGCGTCGTATTTGGTGCATGACGTTTTCTGGGCCGGAGAGGAGCGGTAGATTGTTGGGCCTGATGTCCAATTTGGTCAGCAGTCGTAGATGGGCCTGAAGTATGTGTAACTGATTGGGCCTCATTACTAGAAGATAGGCCCAAAGTTGTTGTAGGAAGGCCCGACATTGTTGCTGCGATCTCAGATTGATTTTCTGCGGCAACTAACTCTGGTTTCCGTGTTGTCTCGTTGCTTCCAGGCAGTACTATCTGGTGAGAATCTGGGCTGGGCGACCCTTGCGACGGTGACGGAGATGACTGTACGATTGGCGAGGGTACGGGTATTGCAATTGCAGGTGGATTTGGTGAGATTGGGGAGGCTGGTGCAGGTGGTGTTGTATTAGAAGGAGGGGTTCGGAAGGGGAATGGTTTTTCATCAAACTGGACGTGTCATGACACA